AGTTTGCACATCAATAAGAATAACTTCAGGGCCTCCCTGGTGGCTCAAGGGGTTAAGTCTCAGCACTATGAAGCTATTGACAGCCACTGCAGCATAAGTTCGATCCCCAGCCAGAGAGCTGACCCACATGGTGCAGCAGACATCTCTTGTCTCACCTCTGCTCCCCTCAGCAGTGTATTTCAGTCAGTCTGCCTGTTCTGCTCCCCACTCTGTCTCTGGTGAATTCTCTCACCCACCCCTCCCTGGTGTACCTCGGCCTACACCCCAGCTCTTGTGTGCATAAATAAATTAAAAAAAAAAAAAGAATAACTTCAATGGACTGAAACATATCAAGCAGTAAATCTCATGGTTCATGATACTATCACAAAACAATAACAACAGCCAGAGAGTGAACTAACTCATTAAAAGAAAGCCAAAACAATGAATAAGGAGAAAGATTCTAGGATCTCTCTTGCCTTTCGCTATGGGCTTGAGCCACTGGGTAACCAAATCATAAATATTAGAAATTTTCTCTTTATAAAAGCATGTTAGCTAGTTACTAACGAAGGAATTACAAAATTAGGACATCCACATTTTGCAATCCCTGATGGGTCTAGACATTGATCATTATTTCTTGTTGTGGTTCTTTAAAGTGTTTTATTTAATCCAAAAATGGATTCATAGGTAGCTCTTTAGTTAATCACATGTGTTCAAGTTTTAATGGAGGCCCTAGGCAGGAATTTATGATGGCTGAAATAATAATCAGGCAGTGCTCCTGACTTACCGAGTCATTACTGAGAAATTATGTTCTCCAAATTACCTGCCTATAAAAGCAGATAACACATACCTACCTCTGGAGTTTCTCAGGTTTTCTCCTTATTAAATCAAGTGCTAGATATCTATTAAAATGATTTGAAAACTATAAAATGAAGACTTACATGTGCTTTAGAGATGCCAGGTATTTTTTAATCAGTGTGTTGGAGAAGCATACAAAATACCCCAAACCTGCCATTATCCTTGGTCTCAGTGTGTCATCAACGAGGCTGCCTAAATGTATGGAGATGCTCCTATTATCACTGTTTTTTGCTAGTAGATGATTGGTTTGTTTTATACATTTCTGAATGAGGTAGACTGAAAATGTTAAAGGAAAATTGTATTTCTTCATGTTTTCCTAATATTTGCAATCAGGAACCTTTTAAGGGCTTGGTTCCTGGTTTGACCACTAGGGCATGGGGGTTTTAGTTGTCGTTCCTGAGGTCTAGAATTTACTTCCTCTCTGTGGTTTATGTAAGCCCGTCTCACCTTCCAGCCTGTACTAGCTTGGTGTGATTTCTTCGTTTTGTGGAAGTTATCCTTCATTAGTGTATGTGGAGGGTTTTTTGTTTTTGTTTTTTTTTGCTTGTTTCTTTTTAAAAGCCCGCTGCTTTGGACTGAGGAAGAGAAATACAGTAAATAAAAGTTTTAAGAAATGGTAATATTGAAATATTCTACTTGAGGCTACCTAGCAAATTTCTTAGGCAGTAAGTCAGTGTTTTTTTTTTTAATGAGAATGGTAGGTTGAGTAGACCTAACAGAAATCTGAGCTTGAGAGAGCAGGACCTCTGGCAGTATCTTAACAGAAATAAGTACATTGTCAAGGTGGGGCAAAATTTAGCATAACTAGTTATTTTTAACATGGGTATGACTTTTCATGCCTTCCTAATGACTCACAGGAGACAGTGTTATGAATCAGCTAATTGAGCTGGCCTTCAGGCATTTCTGTTCAAATTTTGCAATATATAGTGTGTGATGATAAAAAGTCATGAGTGAAAAGAGAGGAAAAGGTAATTTAATACCTATTCTTTGGAGTTTGGAGGAGAGCCCCAGAAGTATAAACCAACCTAATGAGAGACTTCAGTTCAAAATTCTTAGGTTAGGCTGCTTTTACTTGTTAAGAGTTAACCTGGAAAAGGCAAACACTGTGGTATCAAAGGAAGTATGGGAGATTTGTAAATCAACCCGTGAGCCCCCAGAGTCTGGCCCTATTGCTGTTCTTAGCCATCAGCATCCTCCTTTGTATGTGGACCTGGTCATATTCCCTGAAATGTTGAGATGATTGAATGACATAATAATGTATTTCAGCAACTCTCAGATAATGATTCTGACGCACCCTTATTTCTGTGCCATTAAGAAAAAAGAAATGCTGCCAAATGAAAACCAACTTTCTTTTCAGTAAGATGCACCTGAATTTGGGATGTTAAAAATTAAGTGGACAAACTGCATTTTAAAAAGTAATAGAATACAGTGTATGCCAAAATGCTGTACTATCTAAACCTCAAAAGTCATAGTTCATTTTTAATTTGTGAGTCAGGAGAGTGAAACAAAGTTGTAAGAATACCAGGCCAAGCTGAAGGAGAGAGGAGTGATCCTTTCTGTCTTCAGACAGTTAGCACAGTGGCTCCTGATTCCTTACTTAGGTTTCCAAAAGTACACAAGTGTCTCTAGTTTAGGGAGTTCTTAGGCCCAGTGAAAGTTGGCTTCCCTCTAGATTGACTTTTGAGAGAAATCAACACTTTCTGTGTTTAAGTGTATAGCTTCCTCAGTCTTAGATTTGGTTGGTTTGGAACTTGCAGGTCTGTGATTGTTCTTGATTAATTGATTTTTATTTATTTATTTCTATATAATTTATTTATATATATTTTACGTCATTGTTCTTTTTTATTTTTTACAGTGTTTGCTTTCTTTTCTCAGGTGTTTCTTTTCTGAGGTCTCCATACTCATGTTAAAACTTCTCATAATTTCCACCACCAGCTTACCTGTGCACCATCACCATAGTCCCTTGTGCTCTTCCCTCCCTCATTTTGATTCCTCTTCCTTCCCCTCTCCTGCAGAATGTCTCTGATTTATAGTTGTGTGTTTATTTTTGTTTTGTTATGCTTTTTATTGGATTAACTGACTTTCCAGCAGCACAGACTTAAGGAAAGCATCAGCCCCACTGTAACAGTACAGGTGTCAGCATTGCTCTTTCACAAACAGACCTTTTGTTAACTGAAAAGGAACTTTGACTTGTTTGCAGTTGACTTTAGACTTCTATACCCTTACTGAAGTTATTTAAATGGAAGAATGCTCATGTTGGGAGTTTGGGTTAGTTTTTCTTTCCTTTAGGATATGTAGTCTCACTTAAGGAAATTTGTGACATGGTTTATTTACTGTCTCTCTGCCTTTGTCTTGGTGCATTTGAACACGTAATTGCTGTAGTTGAGGATTTTAAGGAAAAGTTTATTTCTGACTTTATTATGGTAATCTTTCATAATGTATATGCATGCCAAATATCACATGTATACCTTAAACATACACCATACTGTGTATCATTTATATAGTAAAGGTGGGAGAAAAATGTGTCTTAGTAAAAGCCTCGCATGTGAGATTTAACAGTTTGCCCCTAAAGAAAAGGTTCAGACTAGTCCTAGTTCACTAAGATGCTTTCCAGATGACTAAGTCTTTACAGAAAGTAAGGTAAAATTCTTTATGCCCTGAACAGGAATTGGTAAATTTTTTCTATTAAAGGGCCAGATAGTAAAAGACTTAGGCTTTATGATGCACATCAATATCTATTACAAATTCTTTTTTGTCGTTTTTATTGTTTTGTTATGTTTTTAAAGAACCCTTTAAAGAGGTAAAAATCATTTTTCCCTGGGGTCCTCTTTGCCGTGGCAAAAACAGGCCTCGTGTGATTGCAGTGCCCTGCTTTAGCAGAAAAGCTTATCATGACCAGACTTCTTGGAGAAGTGAAATGACTCTAAAGAAGTGAAATGACTCAAAACAGAGAAAATATAAGAGGAGCCCAGAGCGTCTTATAATACCAGAACATGAGGAAGCATTGGAGAAAAAGGGAGAAAGGAATGGGGCACATCAGAATGATCCCAGGGGCCAAAACTGGAACAGTTTGAGCCACAGAACAAATAATGAAACTATTGGTTTATAGCTTAAGGAATAAAGTACATATAAACAAGTCCATATGTGATTATGTAATTTGTATATGCACACACACACACGGTTGAATAATGAGGGAAAGGGACAAATCATCCTAATAGAATAATTCCAAATAAAAAATGTAGAAGGAATGAGGGAAATAGAAACCCATGGTTAGAAAATCACAGTATTAATTGCTGTAGGAATGATGCACTGGCAAAGGCAAAAGTTGGTGTGCAAAACTGAGACACAGAATATTACTGTGGTGTTTCGAACTGTGTCTGCAGGTTCTCTAGTATGCCTCCCTCCAGGAAGTATGGCATAGGTCCCTTCTCTGTGTGTGTGCACTGGACTTTGTGTACAGGGGCAAGTGGTAACTTCACAGCGGTAAAACCTGGCAGAAACCCCTGGGCCAAGTGATCAAGGTTCACATCCAAGAATAAGTGATGCCAACATCATGTGCCCTGATGTGATGTGACAGAATGGCAGTTCATCCTGTGCGGATTCTTCCCAAGTATCGACAATCTCAGTCCAGTTATGAGTAAACATCAGGCAGCCCATATTGAGGGATTTTCTATAAAATAACTGATCAATAATCTCCTAAAGTATCAAAGTTTGACACACAAGCAAACAGGGAAATGCTGAGAAATGTCAGAGATTGGATATGAAAATTAAATGCAAGATTGGTAGCCTGGATTGAAGCCTTGGGGAAAAAGAAAAGGGACATTAGTGGGAAAACCAATAAAATTTCAGTCAAGTCTGAAGTTCATTAGTAATATTATACCAACGTCTTAGTTTTGATAATTGTGTCATGATCACGTAAGATGTTAATGTTGTGGAAGCTGGGTGAAGGGTTATGGAGACTATATTTTCTGTAACAGTAAATCTGAGATTGTTTCAAAATAGAAAGTTTTTAAAAACTCCAGTTTCTTACCCTGGATCTGTCATTTGCTTATCTTGAGCATTTAAACATTATTTTACTAACTAGATGATGGAAAATAAATTGGTTTGTTAATTAAAGTTGATTTTAGAATATTTATGTTTTTAATATTAGTTATTTCTCTTTCCAGGGGTGGCACCTGCTGCAGAAGTTTCTTCATCTTTTGTGATCCTGTCTTTGTGCAGTTTATTGCTATTAGTTGTGTTAATTGCCAACTGTGTATCCTGCTGCAAGGACCCAGAAATAGACTTTAAGGTGAGCACAGATGTTAGGAGCATGTAAGTCATCCTCTGATGCATTTGTCAGAATGGCAAGATCTTGGGAAGAGGGGTTGGCAGACTTTTCTCTGTAATGGCCAGATAATAACTGTTTTCTCCCATCATAAATAGTAAGTTCTGTGGGCCATACAGTCTCTGTCATAGCTACTCAGCTCTGCCATTGTAGTGCTATGTCAATCACTGATAGTATCTAAATAAATGGATGTAGCTGTGAACCAAAAATGGAAATAGGTGGTTTGGATTTGGCCCACCAGCTGTAGTTTACATGCTTTTGAGCATCATTGCCAGTAACTTCTTGCTTGTTTTAAGTTTTGCTAAGTGAGGAATAAAACATGATGATTGAATTCACTTGCAATGAGACCTGTAAGGAAGAAAAGCCTGGTTTTGATTTTTTTTTCAAACTTTTCTACATGGTTGAATTTGTGGTTGTTAAGATCATTGAGGCATGGCCTCCCTGGTGGTGCAAGGGGTTGAGCACTGTGCTGTGAAGCTGTCCACAACCTCTGCAGTGCGAGTTTGATCCCTGGCCAGGGAGCTACCCACATGGCACAGCAGACCACTCCTGTCTCGCCCAGTGTATTTCAGTCAGGCCGCCTGTTCTGCTCCCTACCTGTCTCTGGTGAATCTTCTCACCTCCCCGCACCTTTGGCCTATACCCCACTTCTTGTAATCATAAATAAATCCTTAAAAAGAAAAAGATTATTGAGGCCAAGGATCCTCCACTGTGTTTTGTGCATAAGGAAGAGTATCTTTTAATTTACCTGGAACCCTATAGTTCCCTAAGAGGGAGAGAGAAGCTGCCAGTTGTAAATCCTGGCATGTAGCAGCAGATGGGTGGAATCTGCTGGAAACAAGCTGGGCTATCCAGCTCTAGAATTTACTACATGCTGCTGGCGTGGACCAGGGCTCCGTGAATACTTGTTAAGAAGGAATACATGGGGCCTCCCTTGGTGGTGCAGCGGTTGAGTGCTGGGCTGCGAGGCTGCCCGCAGCCTCTACAGTGCAGGTTTGTTCCCCGGCTGCTGGCGAGGGTCCCACAAAAAAAAAAAAAAAAAAAAGGAATACATGGGGGGAATAAAAAATGAATGCTGCTTGCTGAGAAAATGTTCCTTACTGTAGAGCCCTACCAACTCAGGGACTCTCCTGAGAGCTGCTGGTTCAATTTGGGGAAAAAAAGAAACTTCCAGCTAAAATCTTTTTATTAGATAGGTGAACCTTGTATCTAGAGCTGCATACCTGTTTCTCTTTTGTGTTTGTTCTCTTTACCTTGAGTCTGGGGGCTTATCTTAGGAGGGATATGCTGTTTTTTGGCCCAGCACTAGCATTACACACACACAGTGCTTAGAACAGAGCAAGGCTATGGGAAGACTCACTAGCACAGGCCATTTCCTTTACAAGATTTTCCCAGAAACATGTAGGGCTTTATTCATGACATCAGTCCTTAGGTGTTAGGATCACGGCAGTCGCTGTGGGAACTTCTGACGGCACTGTGCAGGCAGAGAATATGTGTCCCTTGTCTATTCTACCAGAAGACTTTGTACAGACACCTGGCTACTTGGGGGCAAAGAAAGTCAGATTAACATTGTTGGAACTGAAATCCAGTCTCTCTCTCACGTGTCATGCCTTAGATTGTTCTAATATGACTGGTCTCAGTATTTACTGAGGGAGTTTATTATGATACAGGTTCCAGCTACTCCAGGTGACTCTGATGTGGGGGCCCAGAGACACATTGTATAGCGGATCCTCTCCAGCTCTACAAACTGTCTTGACAGATGTGGAGCTTAGAGCTGAGTAGCTCCTTGAAACTCATTTTACAGACCAGGAATATAAGTCTGGTAACGTAAGGGACTTGCCCAAGAGCATTCTGATAGCCACGGGCATGACTTTAGCAGTGAGCCAGTATTTTCTCATAGGCTTGTGTCTTTATTATTATCCTGCGTTGCCTCTCTGAATCTTTAGAACCATCTGCTGCCTAATGGTGTGTCATGCTGCTACCAAAGTTTTGAGTGACAGTACTTTTTTAAGGTAGGAGTGCTGGATCAAGTCTTTTTAAATGAGAGAACTTTCAGGAACGTCCAGAGGGAAAACTGAACAAATCCCTCTGTTGAGGGTGATAGAAGTTATGGTACTTGTTTGTCCTGTTCAGTCTCCCCACTCTCCCCCACCCCTCCTGCAAATAGCACTCATGGCCTAATGCGTTTGACTATTTAAGTGACATGTATGAGAAAAATGTCCTCTCCCGTGTATATGAGAATGTAAATATTATATCAGAGAAATCTACCCCTGTAACTTTGTGTGTCTGTCTGTCTGTCTGCCTGCCTGCTTGTCTGCCTGCCTGCCTATAGGAATGCGATAGAAAAAGAACCAAAAAGTTTGTTCACAGATGTTTTCTCAGCTTTTTTTTATGGTACTTACTTATCAATTATCTGAACCAGTGAAAGACTTTGATAATCTTCTGTGTCTATATTAAATCAGCATGGACTCTGAGGTCTACCCACTCACTGGGGTGATGATGGAAGGGTCGGCATAGCTTTCTGCCAAATTCTCACCTTTCTTGTTGCAGCTTCGGTTTTAAAGTACCATCTTTCAAAAACTGTCTTAGTATGTAAATTGCTCTTAAGTGCTATCCAGTTTTTTTTTTTTTTTTTTAAAGATTTATTTATTTATACAAGCACTGGGTACAGTCAGAAGCGTGGGAGGGTGAGAGAATTCACCAGAGCCAGAGCGGGGAGCAGAGCAGGCAGAAGGACCGAGGTACACTGCTGGGGGGAGCAGCGGGTGGCAGGAGAGGTCTGCGCGCCATGTGGGACCCTCCTCCGGAGGCCTGGGAGCATCCGGGGATCGAACAGGCGCTGCGGAAGCTGCTGGCAGCTTCGCAACCCAGCGATCAACCGCTGCGCCACCGGGGAGGCCCAGTGCTATCCAGTTTTATACTGACCTTTGTGGTTCAGATTTTGGTTTTTCTTCCTAGTCTAGTGATTTTTCCATTGTTATTCTTTCCAGAAAAAGAATTTTTGAGTCTTTAAAACTTAAAATACTTTTGAGTCTTTTAACTGTCCTTATTTTGATAGAAATCATGTGCAACTAGAAATGTATATATAATTTTAAAATAAATTTAGTTTGATTCATTATGCAAAGAGATTTGTGAAAGTGAATAATAAGAAGAAAAACTTAGACTAGACTAACATTAAAGTAAAAATTTGAGCCTAGGAGAGTTTTCATTTTAGGTTCCATGGTCATTTTAGAAAATTTTGCATTTAACTTCAAGCTATCAACTTAAAAAGCTATATAAAATATGTTTGATTTATTTTTAAAATCCCCTTTATTCTGTTATTTGGAATTGGAGAACACACCTACATGTGCTTTTTACTTGAAATATTTATAAAATAAATTATGGCAGCATGTTTCAAATGAGTCAGTAAATGGCCATATCTTAAATACTAGCAAATATTTTTTAAACATTTACTCTCAGACTGATTTGTGTTAGATATAACCTTGCTCTTCTTTTATTTGCTAGGAATTTGAAGATAATTTTGATGATGAGATAGATTTCACACCACCAGCAGAAGATACTCCCTCTGTTCAGTCTCCAGCAGAAGTTTTCACACTTTCAGTACCAAATATTTCACTACCAGCTCCATCACAATTCCAGCCTTCTGTAGGTAAGACCATGCATCCTAATGTCATGTTCTCATGGTTTATTTCTGAGAAGAAGAATGGAAGTCTTGCTGCTTGCTAATCATAAATTATTGACTTGTTTCCTCTCCTTGCTCATTTCTTTTTACTTCTTGGGAAATTGCGTTCTAGTAGTCAGGCCCACTGCATTCCTGGAAAAGATGGATCCTTTCCTTTTAGACCCTGGTTCTGATAGAAGAATAGTTTTGTCAAAGTGGATAAAAGAATGGTTTTATCATAGTTTTATCAAGATGGAACGCTCTGACAGAACTCCTTGAACCCTGTTTTGGTCTACAGATTTCTCTGCTAGTTCTGGTCACTGCTGGTCTTGCTGAGTATTTAAGTCTTTGTAGATGACAGACCTGCCTTTTGTGGTACTACATGCATAGTGGTGTATGTTTAGGACAGTATAAAACCAATAGCGGATTATACTAGTATAGGCCTGCATGAGTAAAAGAAAAAGTAAGGTAAAACTTACACAGCTAGTGCATTTCATAGAAAATATTTAAAAAGTACAGAATATTTAACATTTGTAGATTTTACAACATTTTAAAAATGACATTTAGTATTCAGCTTTAATGTCTATAAATATTACTACCCTTACTTCAGCTAAAGCAGTGTTTAAAGAAGTCTAACATTTCCTTGGGATAACTTAATATCCTTATCTCTAAATGGAAGTATTTTTTTTTTTTTCCAATTTTTTTTTTTTAATAGAGGCATGTTTTTATTTATTTATTTATTTGTTTGTTTGTTTGTTTGCTTATACATGCACTGGGTACAGTCAGAAGCGTGGGAGGGTGAGAGAATCCACCAGAGCCAGAGCGGGGAGCAGAGCAGGCAGAAGGACCGAAGTACACTGCTGAGGGGAGCAGTGGGCGGCAGGAGAGGTCTGCGCACCATGTGGGACCCTCCTCTGGTGGCTGGGGAGCAGCCGGGGATCGAACCGGCGCCGCAGAGGCCGCGGGCAGCTTCGCAACCCAGCGCTCAACCGCTGCGCCACCGGGGAGGCCCTAAATGGAAGTATTTTTTTCTTGGCTTACTTGATATTCTTCTTTCCTTTATATTTAAGGAAATGCCTGAGAGACTTCTCCAGGGCTTTTGCAGCCTAGAGTCTTAGCACCCATGAATTAATTCCAAGTTGTAGACTCCAACCTCAGATCAGCATAAGTTGAATGCATATGTGGAACCAGACTATGGGAAGAGTAGGGGCTAAGTTGGCCTCAGAGACAAGTAGAGCCTACGGCTTGAACTTGACTAGAGTCAGCACTTTATATGTAATCCTCAAATTTCCTCTTTGCATGTCAGCTTCATCTCTTCTGTTCCCAGAGATGAACTTGACTGCCACCACATGGTTTTTAAAAAAGCAAATTGTAAGATGGTAAATATAGTGGAAGTCTCCTTTTAATCTTTGAATCTAACCTCAACTTCCATCCCCACCTTCCCTAGGTAACTGCTCTTCTTGGTTCTTTATACAACTTTCCAGAGTTTCTTGGCACAAATATTCCCTTCCCTACCACCCTTTTTACTCAGAGGTATCATGGTAGCTACATTATTCTGCACCTTGGTTTTTTTCACTTAGAGATCTTTTCATTTCAATATAAAGAGGCCAATTTATTCTTGCTTACAGTTTCATACAATATTTAAGTTAGGTAGACTTAACACAATTTAACCAGTCTCCAATTGGTGAGTATTTGAGCTGTTTCTATTAAAATAAAGCTTGTCGGGCCTCCCCGTTGGCGCAGCGGTTGAGCGCTGGGTTGCGAGGCTGCCCGCAGCCTCTGCAGCGCCGGTTCGATCCCCAGCTGCTCCCCGGCCACGGGAGGAGGGTCCCACATGGCGCGCAGACCTCTCCTGCCGCCCGCTGCTCCCCTCAGCAGTGTACTTCGGTCCTTCTGCCTGCTCTACTCCCCGCTCTGGCTCTGGTGAATTCTCTCACCCTCCCGCACTACTGACTGTACCCACTGCTTGTATAAATAAATAAATAAATGAATGAATGAATAAATAAATAAATAAAAATAAATCTTAAATAAAATAAAATAAAATAAAATAAAGCTTGTCCCTACATTGTTTTGCGCATTGTTGTTATGCTGGTATATTTGTAGAAAAAATTTCAAAAATGGGTTAAAAAGTATGATTATAATTCTGATGGATATTGCCATCCTACCCTTCTCCATAGGCGTTGTGCCAGTGTATTATATTCCTGCCAGTTGGGTATCAAATGGTGTATGCTTTTGCTGTTGAAGTTTAGTTGGTATCTGTTCAAACTAGATTGTTATAAATTAGGATAATGGTAATCTCCATGGTAACCACTAAGAAGAGAATGAAAAAATATACTAAAGAGAAAATAAAAATGGTGCATTAAAAATATTAATCAGATGTGCAAAAAAGGAATTTTTTGATGAATACTGCTTGTTATTTTAATATAGCCAAATTTAAGTATTTCAGAGTTAAACATTTTTTTAGAGTCACGGCGTTTTATGCCTTAAGAAATTCTTTTATGTTCATCCTATGATCAGAATGCTTTTTGTTAATATTCTGCTTTGACGTTTAAATCCATAAGAAATCCTGAGTTGATTTTTGAGTGTGGTTTTAGGAGGGAATCCAATTTGAGTTTTCCTTGTGGATAATATGTTGTTGTCACTTTTATTCATTAATTGGTCCTTTCATTCCTCTCTGCTCTTTAGTTCCATTTGTGTTTGGGTTTATTCTCGACTTTGCCCCCTATTTCATTAATTTGTCTGTTCCTGGCTCCAATACACACTGTTTGTGTATATTACTTTCATCATAATATGTGATTTGCAAATACTTTTCTCCAATTTTGTCATTTCACTGTTTTGATAGTGTCCTTTGATACACTACAGTTTTTAATTTTGAGGAAATCCAATATCTATTTTTTTTTCATTTGTTGCTTATGTTTTTAGTGTCATAACTGTTTAAGAAACAGTTGTCAAATTGTCAAATCCAAGGTCATGAAGATATGCTGTGATGTCATCGTCTGAGTCTTACACTTTTAGTTCTTAAATTTAGATCTTTGACACTTTTTGAGTTAATTTTTGTATCTGTTACGAGGTATGAGGTGTCATTCTTTTAGTGTGGTTATCTCATTGTGCTAGCAATTACATTTGAAGGGGTTGTTCTTTGCCCCATTGAAATGGCTTGGCACTCTTGTTAAAAATCAGCTGACATTGTTTGTTTGGGTTTATGTTTGGACTTTTACTTGTGTTCCATTGGTTTATTTATCTTTTTGTCAGTACCCACACTGTTTTGATTAACATAGCTTTGTAGTAAGTTTTGAAATTGAGAAGTGAGTCTTCCATCTTTATTTTTCTTTTTCAATGTTTTGGCTATTCAGAGTCCCTTACAATAGGGATTTTGGGATTTTTTTTTACCATTTCTGCAAAATAGACCATTGGAATTTTGATGCATATTTAAAATTTTTTTAGGCTTGCCATTTTTTCCTCTTTTCAGTCCCTTTCATGTATGTATATTTTTAACTACTTTCTCAATGATTATGATGGAGATACAATTACCTTAAATTTATAACTGAGTTTGAATTGATATCAACTTGGCTTTAAGAACATACAAAATCTTTGCTCCTATAAAAGCTCAGTCCCTTCCCTTTATGTTGTCACAAATTACAGCTTTATACACACTGTGTGCCCTTTAATATAGACAAATAATTTTGTGTTTGTCTTTTCAATCATGTAACGTATATAAAAAGAGGAGCTATGTACCAAATATACAATAAATACTAACTTTAATATTTACTTGTGTGGTTACCATTACCAGAGATGTCTATTTCTTTATATGGTGTTGAGTTACTATTTAATCTCCTTAACTAAATTAATGAATTTAGTTAACTAAACTAAATTAACTAAACTAAATTAATGAACTTCTTTTAGCATTTCTGGAAGGGTTGGTATGCTGGCAGCAGACCAAAAAAAATTTTTTTTTAAAATCTGGGAATGTCTTCGTTTCTACTTCATTTTTGTGAGATAGTTTACCAGGGGTAGAATTCTTGGTTGCCAGTTCTTTTCTTTCAGCACTTTGTATATGTCATCTCTTCTGGCCTTCACGGTTTCTGATGAAAAATTATTAATTTTATTGAAGACCCTTTCTATGTGATGAGTAGCTCTCTTGCTGCGATGGATCAAGTAAAGGCCAATGGACTGGTGATTCATGGTTATAGTAGAGTAGTTGGATCAGACAAGCAATGCCAGTTTGAAGGAATCAGGGTAGGATACTTACTAAAAAATATTGTCAGTTTAAAAACTTGATATGTACTGGTATTACTAGTTTGAAAGACATGTTTTGTGTATTTAGTCTGCCTTATTAGCACAGGCATTAAATTTATGTTAGTCTTGGTAGTTTAGGTTACCTATTTAATACTTTATTTCCATCAAACGCCCTATTTAGTTTTTAATGTTCCTTTTCCTACAGAAGGTTTGAAGTCTCAAGTTGCCCGCCACAGTCTGAACTATATACAGGAAATTGGAAATGGCTGGTTTGGAAAGGTAAAATGTTATCCACTTTTTTTTCTTCATAGTTGTACTGTTTACAATTAAAAGCTAATTAAGAATTGCACTTGGGACATCCCGCATTCACTCCAAACATTGTAGTTCTCATTGAGTTTCCCCATCATCCCTTGATGAAATCAAATGGGAATGTGGGCTTTAACATCCCTGTATATGTAAGTTTTTTCAAGGAGTTTCTTTTGCTTACATATCAGAGACTTTTTAAATTATTGGCATGAGAATAATAAGAGGGGAAAAGAGACATGGAATTTTAGAAGCTTTTTATCCTTCTCAAGTTAAATTATTTGTTTCTTACTCCTTGTCCCCTGGTCCTCTTACTCTTCCCACTTCCCCTTATGGCCACTTTAGAATTGTAGATAGATAGTCTTGTTATAATTAAAACCATCGCAAAGGTTCAATCTGTCAGGAAGGGGCGTAGGAGCTGTGGTAGGGGAAGGATGGTAGAAAAGTGTAATGATTCCACTTGTTGAGTTAGAGTGTTGAAATAAGTGAGCTGAAAATAAAAGGACTGGTAAAGACAGAGAAGTGAAAATCCGAGGTTTAGGACGTAATATCATTAATTATTAGCTAAGTCTAGGCCCATGGGAGTGTTTGCTTAGATGGGGTTGTAGAAGAAATTATTGGAATTGAAGCCAAAGAACTGAAAGTTCAAGGTGTTGAATGAATTATCCCTGCAGATATTGGACTCCAAGAATGACAACAATAGTGGTGGTACCAAGGGAGACCCATAAGCCAGGTTGCTACAATAGTCTACTATAATCTTTCTCTCTTTTGATATTGATACCTTGTGATTATTAGGCTTACTGTACATAGATAAACTGGCTATTTGAAACAAAGAATATGACTTAATTATCAGAATTTCTTATCCTGTTCTTTTTTTTTTTCTGATATTCCTAATAAACACAGTTGAGATCTGTTGTTAGTCTCTATTTCCAGGACACTAAAAATTAATTGTTTTATAAAAAATATAAAAACTGTCTTAAAATATTGTATTTTGAAGTGCCTTTACATTGCCCTATGTTATATTTAATATTTCTTTTTTTTTTGTTATATTTAATATTTCACCTGCTGTTTGCTCTTATGTCAGGTAGCTGATTTTCATTGTGTATATTGTTAATTTCTGTGGAATATTTTTTCTGTCTGTTTTGACTGAAATTTTAATACTAGCATAATTGGAATGCCATGGATTTTTAAAGTTATTATGCAGTGAGTTTATTTGTACATAGTTTGTCAGTTTACTTTCTCATATCTCAAGGGGACAAAATAACAAAACTCAGCTGAAGTGTTTTTGAGAAACATTTGTTTTCGGGAAACTCAAGTTTGAATTGAACTTACACATTGCTCTTCTATAATGTCATTGTGACTTTCCATGAAAGTATAACATTTTTAAATAAATAGAAAAGAAATATATATGTATATAATATTTTAATGTTGTAATGCCTGATGAATACCTTAAAATGGCCCTTTTACTGAAGGAAGATATTTTGAGTTTTCTAAGCTTTTTGTTAGGTAGTTTGCAAAATAATAGAAGGTTATCTACTTTTGTTTCTTAATTTGTTTGTCTAAATTCCATTTCCTTATAAGTGAGTCATATTTCTTTAGTGTTTTGATGAAAGTGAAATGAAAAACTGTTCTTTGCTTTTAGGTCCTCCTTGGAGAAATTTACACAGGCACTAGTGTAGCAAGAGTAATAGTGAAGGAATTAAAAGCAAGTGCAAGCCCAAAGGAACAAGACACCTTTTTGAAGAATGGAGAACCTTACTAGTAAGTAAACCTTAACTTCTGTTCTATAAACATAGTCTGTGGTCTGTCAAAAATCAGTTGATTAATACTTCTTTGGGATTTCCTCTTGTAAAATATATGATGTAAATAAAATCAAAGTTGCATAATTTAAAACCTGAAGTGTCCAGGTTTCAATCAAATCCATTCATCATTCCAAGAACCAAGAAAACTCAAATAGGAAAAGTTAACCAACCCCCACCTTCCCACACACACCCTTCTCCTACCTTCTGCCCTCCATACCAACCTGCCTACTCACCACCTCACAGACACTTATTCCAATATGCCACTTGCTGAAATCAGTTTATACTGGCTCCCTGTTATCTCTTGATCAGGTCCAGAATTCCCCATGTTTTGGGGAGACAAAACCAAAACAGATACTGATACCAAGATGACACAAAGGTTAGAATTATCTGACATGGATTTTTATTTTACTTTATGTATCCCTGGGTGCACATGAATGAGAAGAATTTTAAAGCATCATAAAAACACTTCAATGAACAATTAAAATACAGCACTCTTGAAACAATATATACAAAGTCTCAGCAAAGAAATAGAAGACATAAAGAAAACCTAAATGAAAATTTTCAAACTGAAAAATATTACAATAACAAAACAGAACAAAAAGCTCAGTGAACTAGTTCAACAGCAGAATGGAGAAGACAAGAATCAATGAAGTTGAAGAGAAAATAATAAGATAATGCCAATTTTTTTTTTTTTTTAAAGATTTATTTATTTATGTAAGCACTGGGTACAGTCAGAAGCGCGGGAGGGTGAGAGAATTCACCAGAGCCAGAGCAGGGAACAGAACAGGCAAACTGATGAAGAAACACACTGCTGAGGGGAGCAGCGGGTGCAGCAGGAGAGGTCTGTCGCACCATGTGGGACCCTCGGGGCTGCAGAGGCTGCGGGCAGCTTCGCAGCCCAGCGCTCAACTGCTGCGCCACCAGGGGAGGCCCGATAATGCCAAATTTTAACAATGAAGAGAAAATAGATTTGGGGGAAAACAAAGAAGTAAAGCTTCAGGGACTTGGAGTACTATGACAAATGATCTAACATTTATGTCAGTAGACATCCCAGAATGAAAGGAGATAGGATGTGGACTGAAAAGTATTTGGAGAAATATTAGCTGAAAATGTCCAAATTTAGAAAAGATAAACCTACAGGTTCAAGAAATTGACTGAATATCAAACAGTCTAAATCCAGAGAAATCCATGCCAAGACATTTAGAAAATGAAACTAAAACCATAAGACAAAAAGAATGGAAACAGGAGAGAGAGGATTACTACGTATAGGGGGTTACTTTAGAAAAAGGAAAAATCTGGGATTAATAAGCTAAACTTAGACCTTTATAGACTGAAATGAGAAGAACAAAATTAACTCAAAACAAGAAGGAAGGGAGGAAATACTAATATTAAAGAGAGGGAATCAGTAAAATTAAAAACAAAAATAATGGATAAAATCAAGGAACTGTAAAGCTGATTCTCGGAAAAGGTAAGAAGGTTGACAAACCTCTATCAAAACTGACAAAAAAATAAAACTACAAAAAAATAAAAGAGAGAAGACACAAATTACTAATATCAGGAATGAAAGAACTTGGTAAGAGGATGAAAATACTACCAACTGGGAGAAAATATTTTCAAATCACATATATGACGTAGGACTCATATCTAGAATTTATAAAGAATTCTGAAAGCTCATCAGTATAAAGCACTGTCACTTTTCACCGAAGATGTATGAATAACTGATAACCACGTGAAAAGATGTTCAGCAATATTGAACAGTAGGGTAGTTAGTTAAGATCATAACACTTTATAAATGTTAGAAAAGCTAAAATAAAATAGTGACAATAGCAAATGCTGGTGAGGATGTGTGGAACTGGATCCATTGTACATTCCTAATGGGACTATAAAGTGGTATAGTCAGCCTGGAAAATAGATTCACTTTGTTAAAAAATCAAGCACATGTTTTCCATATGTATTAGTCAGTGTTCTCCAGAGAAACAGATCAGTGGGATGGATGGGTGGATGGGTGGGTGGGTAGGTAAGTATAGGTGGATAGGTAGAAAGACAGGTAATTTGAAGGAATTTGCTCTCATAATTTTTGGGACTGGTGAGTCCAAAATCTGCAGACGGATGAGCAGACTTGAGACCCCGGGAAGAAGCAGTGTTGCAGTTCAAGTCGAAAGGCTGTCTGCTGGCAGATCTCCTTCTTCCCCAGGAAGTTAGTCTTTGTTCTGTTAAGGTCTTAACTCATTGGATGAGGCCCACCCACATTATGTAACACAGCCTGCTTTATTGAAAACCCACTGATGTAAATGATCTTATCTAAAAATACCTTCATAGGAACACCCATAATAACATTTGACCAAATATCTGGGCACTTGACCTAGCCTAGCTGACACATAAAATCACATAATGTAACTAAACTATCACACTTGTGGGCATTTATTTCATAGCAATAAGAACTTCACAAAAATCTTTGCATGATTGTTCATAGCAGCTTTTGTTGTAGCTGAAAACTGTAAATACCGAAGTGTCCCTCAATATATGAATGGTTAAACAAATTGTGGTATACATATATACCATGCAGTATTGTTCAGCATTAAAAAGGAACAAACTATTGATACATGTAACAACTTGGATGATCTCAGGGGCATTAAGTGAAAAAAATCAATCTCAAAGGACCATGTACTGTATGATCCCATTTACATAATTTCAAAATGAGAACATTAGAGAAATAGCAAACATTAGTGTTTACCAGGGCTTAGGGGTGGTGGGAGAAGGTGACTGGGAGGTGTGTTGAGCAGAAAGGGTAGCATGGGAAGATTTTTGTGGTGATGGACTAATTCTGTTGAGCTGGTGATCACATGAATCTGTGTATGTGATAATAGGAGGTAGAATTATTACACTCATTGTACCTTAGTGTCAGTGCCCTGGTTTGCGCTGTAGTGTCAGATGTAACCACTGGGAAAAACTGTGAAGAGAACGTATGGCTTCCTTACACTATCTTTGCAGCTTCCTCTTAATTCATAATTGTTTTCAAGCAAAATTTTTGTAAATAATTTTGGCATGTACATACTTTTCTACTTTATTTTGGATAAAATATTTTCTAAAAAAATTAGCATATACTATGGAAATGTATGGAACTCATATGTAAGCTAGATAGCTTGAAGAAATAACTGAGTCATTGATAGATGAAATCAGGTGCTTATTAAATGTACATATATAGCCTGCCTTCTTTTTAAGTGCCACTTCAAAGTGATGTGTATAAATTACTGAAGTTAAAGATTCTTGTTTTTATGTTGTGAAATTGTTTGCCTGATTGACTTTAATTTCTTAATCATTGGATAAGTTAATATATATCTGATAAGTACTAATAATAATGTGCTCTTTTCATTTTGTTGTAATTAAATCATTATTAATGTTAAAATTTGGACTCCTGTTTGCATAATTTTAATAGCATACTCCTTGATGAAAAATACTATGCCTTTTTATTTTTACCAGTGTTCTTCAGCATCCAAATATTCTTCAGTGTGTTGGACAGTGTGTTGAAGCAATTCCTTATCTTTTGGTGTTTGAGTTCTGTGACTTGGTAAGTTTTTATTAGAAATTCAAGCCCAAGACTCCAAAAAGCTATGCTGAATAAGACCTTTTCAAATATGTTACCGTTTGAAGGACTTTATGACATATTAATTCATTACCTTTGATAATAGTATCAGCTGACACGTGTTTTTATACTACATCCCTGTGGTAAGCTATATGCAGGCATTGCCACATTTATTTTTTTTTTAAAGATTTATTTATTTATTTATACAAGCACTGGGTACAGTCAGAAGCACAGGAGGATGAAAGAATTCACCAGAGCCAGAGCAGGGAACAGAACAGGCAGAGTGAGGAAATACACTGCTGAGGGGAGCAGCGGGCATGGCAGGAGAGGTCTGCGCAACATGTGGGACACTTGCTGGCGGCCGGGATCGAACCGGCACTGCAGAGGCTGCAGGCAGCTCACAGCCCAGCGCTCAACCGCTGCGCCACTGGGGGAGGCCCCGGCATTACCACATTTAATCATATTTGTCCACACTTTACATATGATTAAAGTAAGATTTGCAGAGATTAAGAAAATGCTATAGATCAAGTATATGGCAGGGCCAGAGCTTAGATTTATGTTTGCCTTTCCTGAGAGCTTAAGGTCTTAACTTCAGTGAAGCATTTTGAAATAGTTTCTCTGTGGAATGTCCTTACCTATAGAGTACCCTTGCTCTATCATATTTTTAAAATAGTGAATGAATGTAACATTTATATTTTTAATTAATTAGAGGACTTATTTTCTTAACATAAAATTAATACCCTTATTTCTTAGATAGTATTATTCGTGGAGATTTACAGTTGGAAAGATTGTTTTTTGTGCAAATGCCCACTTATGAATAGATAAACAAAATTTGATCTTTCCACACAGTGGAATATTATTCAGCTTTAGAAAGGAAAGAAAGGCTGGCACATGCTGCATTATGAGTGAACCCTGAGGATATTATGCTAAGTGAGATAGACCAGCCACAAAAAACCAAATATTATATGATTCTACTTTATGAGGTAGCTAAAGCAGTCATACTCAGAGACAGGCTGTAGAGTGGTGGTTGCTAGGAACTGGGGGGAGAAGAAGTGGACCGTTAACTTTTAATGGGTATGGAGTTCCAATTTGGAACTGTTTTGGATGATAGCTGCACAACAGTGTGGATGTACTTAACACTGCTGAACTGTACACTTAGAAATGGTTAAGGTGATAATTGTATGTTATGTTTTTTACTTCAGTGAAAAAACCATTGGTAATTACCTACTATCAATTAAGGTGCTGGGCCTCCCCGGTGGCGCAGCGGTTGAGCGCTGGGTTGTGAAGCTGCCCGGGGCCTCTGCGGTGCCGGTTCGATCCCCGGCTGCTCCCCGGCCACCGGAGGAGGGTCCCACAAGGCGCGCAGACCTCTCCTGCCGCCCGCTGCTCCCCTCAGCAGTGTACTTCGGTCCTTCTGCCTGCTCTGCTCCCCGCTCTGGCTCTGGTGAACTCTCTCACCCTCCCGCGCTTCTGACTGTACCCAGTGCATGTATAAACAAAAACAAAACAAATAAATATATAAATAAATAAAAACATGCCTCTATAAAAAAAAAAAAAATTAAGGTGCTATGCTACATGTTACCTTCTCAGAAAAAGACCAGCTAAGCAGAGGGGCACCATTCAAGGTCCAAAGGTCCAAGGGCAGTTGCCAAGGTTACAAATAAATAGCTATAGTCACAGTGAAAGGACGCCCCATGTTCTTAGTAGGTCAGGAGCTGTTGAATGAACATCACCTTTCAGTTGTTACCAGCAGTGATCATGCTTTTAAGTGGAAGGAGAGAATGTTTTTGTACTTAAGTAGTTCTTTGTAAAATAGAATTACCAGTCTGTTTTTAAACAGCACTTATTCATAGTTTTATGAAAGATGAAAACTCTTCTTAGTGAGTTAGCAGGACTGTGACTTGTGATACTAGTGGTATAAGTGCCTGAACTGAGTTGACAGATCCCCGCAGGGTGTTGAATATAACCTGCTGCCAAGGAGGTACTTAGAGCTAATATCAAGGCAATGAGACTGGTTTTGGTTAAGGATCACTCATTCAACAAAAATGTATTGTACACCTGTTGAGTACAAAGATATACCCAGTGCTCTAAAGAGTGCAAAGGTGAGTAATGCCATCCCTACCTTTTCTGCCTGTAAAGCTAGACTGTCTACCTTCAGATACTCATTCTGTTCCTTACTTGTGTCTCACCTTGGAAAATTACCTAACTTTAAATCTCATTTGAGATATCGGTAAAGTAGGGAAATAATGCCTGCTCTTATCTACCTTAAATAAGATGATGCATTTAAATTACTGAGCACATAGTAAGTACTCAGTAACTCCTAAGTGTTCAGGAATTGGTAGTTATTTTCATTCATTTTTAGTTACTTAATCACAATTATCAAATAAATTTGAGAGTAGTATGTATTTAAGTAAAGCAGGTCCTCCAGTATTGTTGTTTAGTTCAGTATGGTTTCCTTATAATATTGATGAGAGAAGGGCCTCCCCGGTGGCGCAGCGGTTGAGCGCTGGGTTGCGAAGCTGCCCGCGGCCTCTGCGGCGCCGGCTCGATCCCCGGCTGCTCCCCGGCCACCGGAGGAGGGTCCCACATGGCGCGCAGACCTCTCCTGCTGCCCGCTGCTCCCCTCAGCAGTGTACTTCGGTCCTTCTGCCTGCTGTGCTCCCCATTCTGGCTCTGGTGAATTCTCTCACCCTCCCGCGCTTCTGACTGTACCCAGTGCATGTATAAAACGAAAACAAACAAACAAACAAACAAATAAATAAATAAAACATGCCTCTAGGGGGGAAAAAAAAATATTGATGAGAGAAGAACAAAAACCCCAACCCACATTAAGTGAAATGGTGCTATTTGAGGCCCTGCTTTTATTATATATTGGTTCAGTTAAAATCAAAGTTTATAGGAGAATGTATGCGAGCCTGGTAAATGAGGACTTACTGCATAGAGATTTTCATTAGGATTACTAGGGAAGGCTTTGCAAAGGAAGTGGCCTTTGATTCAAGTGTTTGAAGAGTGCTTGTGTGGGCTTTCTTCAGGCAGAAAAGGAGAGCAGAGCAGCGTGGGCAGGTAGGGAAGCCCAACAGTACGCGTATGCATGGGGGGGCAACAACACATGACCCAGGAGGGGTGGAGACTGGGTGGGTTGGCAAGATCCATCAGAAGAGTGAAAAGCTGAGAGACAAATCACTTTGGAGACCAGGCTGCAAGCTGAGGTGATAAAGGTAAGGATGTAGGTTAAACTTTGCTCTCTCAATCTTTTCTTGAGAATCAGCAGTTCCTTTGACTCTGTCACCTGACTTGGAAGCAAGAGATGATATTTTGTTTGACAAGGTGCATTCTTAAATGGAACATATAGGTTTCCTTTACGATACTCAGCCAATAAAGCAGTGAGTGATTTCCGAAAGAAATTAGCAGTGATAAACCTCATGAAGAGTCTTTAGGCTTAGGATAGTGGGCTTTTGATGCCGGAAGGAACCTTGGCTGGAAGGAAGGGGAGGCTTTAACATGTCTGTTCCAGGCCTTGTGTGGGGTATCTGGTATTTGTTCTCCATTTAATGAGTTTTCTTGAGAACCCTATGAGGTAGGTGTCAGTGACTTCATTTTACAGATTGGGAAACATACTGAGAGAAGGGACTCATTGAAGAAGTAAACCCAGGTCTCTGACTTCCTGCCCATTCTTTGTCTTTGTGAATTGACTGCCAGGGTCACATAATTAGTAATGGCAAAGTGGGGACTTTAACTGCTGACTTAATTTTATTCTGTGTGCAGCAGGTCCTCAAAGATGCATTGTTTCATTTCATGTTGTTTCGTTATGACATTGATGAGAAAAAGAAGTTGATTCCCTGGGACTAGGGGCCTTGCCTTTATGGAATCTGCATGTTCTCCTTATGTCTATGGGTTTTTTCTGGGGACTCTGGTCTCCTCCCACATTGTAAAGATGTCATATGAGGTTCATTGTCTCTACGTAAATGTGGGGGTGTATGCCAGTGTACCCTGTAGTCAAGGGCATCCTGTCTGGGGTTGGTGCTCACCTTGTGCCCTGAGCTGCCAGAAGAGGCTGCAGTCACCCTTGACCCTGAACTGGAATAAATGGGTTGGAAAAGGGAAGAATGAATGAATATAAATGATTGTTGAATATCAGAAGTGTTTGGAGCCTTTATTTAGAAGTTTGATGATGTTTTTGTGACCAGAAGTATGCTATGGGAACATAACTCCTATTTATTTCATTCTGTGGTAAAGTTGGTTTCGTTACTCATCATTTCATTTCAAGTCAGTTTTCAAATAACACCCCAATGTTAAGTAAGGAGTTGCTGTACTTTTACACAATGATTTAATGCTTATATGTATTTTTTCCACTAGTGGAAAGCCTCCATTTTAGAATTGACCTTTTGTGCAGAAAATGCCTAATTGATGGCATGTCCTATTTATAAATGTACTGGTTAAACCCATGCACCAGAGTCCCCTGTAGGGCTGGGCATGGGCTTCTGTAGAAAGAGAAGACATGGAATTAAAGTGGAACAGAAGTGCTTGTGAGCAGTGGCCCCTGACTCAGCCATATGCTTGTGCTGCACGAGAAGATGATGTTATTAGGCTTGACAAGAGAGTGGTGAGGTGGCTGGAGGGGAAGGTGACGTGCCCTACCCTCTCTCCTTGCTCATAGGTTGCTCAGCTGTGGTCAGGCCCTTCCTGGTCCCTGGTGGTTGCTTCTCCCACCCTTTGGTTTCCTGGGGTTGGTTACTTCTTGATGCTGATCCCACCTGCTCTGTGTGGCCTCCCCTCCTCCCAAATACTATGTTTTCCCTTGTGTCACTGCAGTTATGGGTCATCACTGCTAGGGCCCCAACATCAAACCTGGAATTGGCACTCAGGGCAAACATGTGGTGAGAACAGTGTGCTTAATGCTGGCCTCCAGTTGCAGTGCCAGTGGTGCTAGGGACTGATTGGGAGCCTGCCACTGTCTATATCTGCACTTCCCAGGTCAATAGCCC